CACATAGACTTTTGTGGCTACACTTAAGGTAATATGCGCCCACCTGGACAAAGTGATGGAAGTTGCTACGGCTCGCAAAACTACAACGGCGCAGGTTACTCAACAGTGAGAAGAACAACCTATCACAAGTGTCAGGTTGATGGTTGCTGACTCCGAAATCCAACCTACGTGGGCCTTAGATCACGCGATTCGACGCTGTTGCCAAGCTGTGTGCCACAAGCTGATGTGTGAGAAATACCACAATCACAAAAGCAACTGCTGTGTTGTGCTTGAAACGCTCCACGGTTTTAATAACTGGGAAGCGATAAGCGATCAGCGATAGTGTTACATGATGTGGGAAGTTCTGAACCGGACACGTGGCACCCTATCGGATATCATGTAGACTGAAGAACAAGCAGTCGCGAGACAATCGTGAAGTGTATGCTCAACAAAGAACGTATCCACTAGATGGTTAGTGGTTCGGTTCCCTCAAGCCTCCCCATTCCAGCTGATGAAGAGACTGAACAATCTGGCTTTTGATCTACTGCAACACGAGTTACATTTTGTGTAAGAGTGTGTGGATATAGCTGGAAGATGAGAAGTGGATTGGTGTGTGCAACAACAAACAACAACGACTGGTCATACGCATATACAGTGACGCGCAACGGTGGGAAGAGCTGAAAGCACTAATTAGGTTGCGACGACCCAACCGACTGGACCAGCGTGTTTACGTGACTTGTCATCATCAGAAAAGCACACGTTCGGATGATTGTCATTCGATCGGGCAGTACGGCAAAGCAACAGTCTGACTCTCGTGCCACATCTGTTTAAATCTCGTGTTATCCACGGCGAGTGGGACACGTGGATACTCTCGGTTCACGGCGCCTGTCGTGACAATTCAGTGCCTAGATGTTCTAGATTAAATCGGTCGATTCATACGATCGTCATAAAACTCTCATTTTGTGATGCCAAAAAGATGTGATTGCGTTTTTTCACGAACAAACAGAAGGTCAAGTACCATCCCAACCGAATCAGATGTGACAGAGATGAAAATATGCGGTGCCTGAACAATGCCCGCACTATTGCACAGTATCGTCTATAAAAACACATTCACAACTATAGACTGCGAACAGCCAAAAAACTTACTAAGCACAGTCAGATAAAAAAGTGCGCCATAGTGGGTGGACAACAATATACACAACGGAAAAGGTGATGTTAGTCTGCGTTAGAATGGAACCTAGAGTTGGTGTTGGTATTGCCCTACCTGGGGCGTTACATTAATTAATATCTACCTACTTTTTCAGAGCTAAAGACAAATGAAACGGGAAGGACTTGCTGACCTTCCCTTTCAATGCTACTGAGTAGTTAATGCTCTTCAATAGATAAGAACTCGTTCTCACATAACTTTTTTATTCTAACTACTATCACTTCATGACCCGTTGATATAAATGGCTGCCTCGTGGGAGATAGTCATTTGTTGGGATCCAGCTGAACTCGAAAGGGTTGTAAGCTGCTGCCGAGCCCCAATAAGATGGAACAGTCAGCCAGAGGTCTTCTATCAGCGTGGAGCTATCCAATCAAAATTTGGTTGAACGAATCTCCTCAGAATCGTTGTAGTTCTCATGATAGTGATTGTTCTGATATCCTGGAAGCTTAAGTACAACTTATTGGAGTGAGGTTATTGGCGTCCTTCACTTAAGTCCCCTATCATTCAGCCAGTATTAACTCACAACGGACTCCGAGTTCCATGGAGCCTCTTCATGGTGTCGCTTTTGTGAACAAGTCATACTTGCTTCTATAAACGTCGGGCTGTGGATTTTTACCGATAGTGTTCGGTTCCATAGAACTGACAAGCACCGAAACATCGGAGCACATAAGGTTCATCATGTTCGCAACGTTATTGCTTCTTTCGGCTATCCGGAAGACGATGAAGAGATCCAAAATAATACGGCTAACCGTTGCACTTCGGTGGTGAATGTGAAATCCAGGTGGAGCAGTGTTAGCTTTCAGTCCAGCTGTGTCGGCGTACTTTGGTCGCGGTAATTATAGGCTAATGCAGACACATAGAGTGAATGCAACTCATAAAATGAAATGGTACGTTTCATCAGTCCCCCAAAAGGGCCCTTGAGAAGCATTTGAACAGGTGTGTTAAATAATTCAATTACGTAGGCATATTTCCGGTTAAGCAAGCTGTCGGAATCTAACGGTAAGCTGCGTGGATGACGAAGTATGTTACATGGTGATGTGCTCTATGAACCAGAACCAGAATTCTCTAAGCGAATGTGGCGGATTGGATTGACGGTTTGGAGTCAATATACCAGCCAGATACCAGTCAGTTCGCGTCAATACCACTTTGCAAGTAAGCACTCTGATCTGAGTCAGTCATGCTTCCTAGCCTATACAACGCTGGAGGGATCATTCTGAAGCACTGCTCATGTGAATGGATTGTGATGCACATTCCCAATGTAGACCACGATTCACAACGAAATGAATTCAAATCGCTTACCGGAACCGTAACTGAAGAAGCAGGCCTATATTCGGTAATGCCCACTCGAATATATTGCACTTCAGGATGCGGTTCAACCTTAGTTGAGCGCTTCAGATAGAGAACAGGCATCTAGTACTACAAAATAACCATCCAATCGGTCATTAACCGTTGTGCCAAGCGTTGCTCGTTATGACTCAGTGGCTAGAGGGGTAAGGGTATCGGTTAACATCTCAGTGGTCCTGATTTCGAGTGCCTTCTAGCTCTACCTAGTCAGTTTAGGTAAACTCGAAACGCGTTGTGGAGTGCAGTGATTTCGGGCAGGCAACGCCAAATATCCGGCTGTCACGCGACGTTGTTAATTGGCTGTGAGAGTGTGGTGCCACCCGGAGGGGCGTACTCGTTACTGTGCTTTACTGAATGAGCAGTAAGTCCTGGGCCATAGCATGGTGCATTATTAGCTTCCTGGCTCCTTTGCACATTAAATCGTCTGTCGTTGAAAGCGGCTTTGTCAGAACTCCGATTGAGAGCTTACACCAGGTACTGAAAGTACCTCTTTAAATGTCATGTACTTACCGTACTTCAAACGCTGTCCAGTATCTGACGGAATAGGCGTGAAGATGGAAAAGAACTGTGATTCACGCCTAGCTATAAATTATGCAACAGGTACACAGGTTGCGCCAAAATGCCGCACTGCCCAACTAGGTGAGGGAAAACAGTAGTGGAGCTTTTACGTGGCGATGCAACTGCCTCTCATCCTATGTAAACACCCCGACTTTGTGATGAATGGTTGCGTGTTGGCTGTCATGAGAACATGATGGGCACAGCTCGTATAGAATCAAAACAAGCTGCGATTTGCCAAATGCTGGTATCACATAGTGCTATTGAATGCAAAGTGTTAAAGTAATGCATAAAGCTTAGTTCAAAGTCCAACCACCGACCTGTGCAAAGTCAGTGCTGCTCCCTGGATCATACGTTAGTTAGTGAGCGAAGACCAAATGCGCCTAAATCATAGGAATGAAAAGGGGGGATTCCATCCCGGATTTAAGCTGAGGGATAGAAATGGACAAAAAACCCTTTTCTAGGATTGAACAAAAGAGAAAACTGTACTGGTTTTGTGGTGGGCTATCGGATGCGTCGAACGACATCAATTCATTCTACGGACGTCTGATTTCTGTCAGATATGACGGCTCAAATTGGATTTGACTAGCACACGCGCACGCACGCACGCACTCGAGATATCCGTCTCCGGATTACATCAGCTAATCTTAGCCTTTGCATAGTGCAGATGGAAGTCCGATGGATTAATGAGAAAGCTCACCGCATAGAGTCTTCTGAAGGCTTCGCAGTTTGAACGCGGTTCGGTATTCGGCAAAACGCACAGCGTTGTACTGTCGTAACGACTGCAACAAGTCGAATAGAATCGGATGGTCCCATTGAGTGTCTTGCGTGGAGTGACTGAAATGGTGAAAAAAAGTTTGAAATTAAATGGCGATTTTGCTAGTCAGAAACTGACCTCGAGCATTGCACACTTTTCGCTTAACATGCATCTGCGGAAAGCTGATGCCGATCGAAGGAGGAACGATTGGCGAGCATTCCTTGGCTACACGTCGGGAGCGTTGCCAGTTGAGTCGTTAAAGTTTGTCGATTAATAAAAAGCGCTCGCAGATGCGCCAACAGACAAAACGAAATATGCTCAAGTATAAGCCGATGACTGCATCCATTAAAAGTTCAGCAGTGTACTATTTCGACACACTTAGATGCTGACCATATTCTTTTCATCTGTAAGATAATGTAAACATTTGCTTCTTTACTTTTAAATAAATCCATTGTTCCGAACGGTCGAATGGTCAACGGGAATCATGGATGCGGCATATGGGAGTCCCGAAGTCTGCATGTCTATTGCTCGTCACACGCACCCGCAAAACTGCCCGCGTCATCGAGTTCACCACTATGAGGAGGGATCACTCCATGAGAGGCAAAACTAACCTTTCACTCCGAACAGCGTGCAACGGTGAGGTCACCGCTGCTGTGCGTACCATTCGTTTCCACGTATCCTGATGGCACCAATGTGCTCACGATAATGCCGCCGCGGCAACGCAACCTGTAGGGCAATAATTGTGTGCGCGGCACGGGTAATTTCACTCCCTCAAGCATGCATGTACGCACACTGCAGTCCGAGGGGGCGAGTGTTTATCAAGTGATCGCTAACAGAGTCAACATGCATGCGCCCAGGCCGTACGTCACATTTTCAACTACCCTGTCGTACTGTTCCTTGTGTAGTGCTCTCTATCCGTTCGCTGGTTGTCGTTGTACAGGCTACAAGAGCCGTTGCAGATAGACCAATTGCGACCACCGAGATACAACGGCCGTAAGATGGAGTAGGTGGAGGTGTTGGGTATGGGTCAGCAAGCCGAATCACGCACTCGCAGACGCAAATATTTGCAGTGCCTGTGGGTGAATGGGTCATCAAGTATCCCTGGTCCTCCGTTCAGTTCCGGGCTTTTACATGAATGAATGGTATTAGGAAGTGTCGGATTCCACCGCAATTCGCAAGTATTTTGAGATCAGACTATGAATTTCTAACCACTGTGACAAGTCTTACACACGCAGCTCAATGAACTATTTCCCGGATTTATTTTCCAGCCCTAGCTATCCGCTTGGAAAAGTGGAAACAGAAGACGGTGGCCGCGGAGCGTTGGGTCTGGAGCGAGTAATGCATAACTTTACACATAATTCCAACTCAGTTTTAAACAGACATTTAGAATGGGGAACAAAAAGTACCAGTTACACTGCAGTTTATCTGAATTAAGCTTTCATCAATACATACACTTGGAGCGTGGCCACAGTGGATATCAGACTACGGTACTACGTGCCCTCAGATATTACCCCCCATGATTGGCTTAGTTTTCGCATTGATTGGTACTGCATGATGCGGACGACAACGTGCCATGGCGTGTGGGACGAGTTCAATGGACACCAATTCGATGTTTGCTCAGAAACCATAACCATGGTTGGCTTACAGTTCGTTGAAGTCGTACATTGTGTGCACAGTGGCCTCAGATACCATGTCCAGAGAAGCTTTCTTTATTCAGGAGGTTCGATCCTTTACAATGTGCTATCAAAACAACTGAACAAAAAACTAAGCACGTCCACTGCGTTTATCGGCACCCGTACCAGACGCTTGCAGTTCGCTGCACGAGGTAATCAAAGTCCAACACGGTACATGCGGTCGCTTGTGCACCCACACTATGGACTACCAATTCTAGTTTATAATTTACTGTCTACGATAAATATACACTTTTAATTCAATTCCAAATATGCACGTTCACACAATTATAATTGAATGAATAGCGCTAATTTTTCAATTTCTAAAGTTATCGTCCAGTTGAGCACTAGTATTCGTATCGCAAAATAAAAGCATAATAGTTGTTTATCCAACCACCGAGGTTGATTGAGAGACCGGGGTTATGAGGCAGCAGCGCAGATTTTACCGTCGTTGCGGCATCCCTCAATCGGCTCTCAGTCCTACTGGTGTTAACATGGGACTGCTTACTATCGAAGTTCTGTGGTAATCCCTTTCAAACACTGGCTTTCGTGTACAATTCTTGTGGATTCCTTGGTGTTTGACTATACATTGGTGCGATTAGCTCTTATCTCATTCTCACTGAGTTCGATCTTGACCCATCTGGTTCTACCGTTATTCGTGTACTCCCCATTGGAATCGCGCATTCCTTTCTGTTAACAGGTCAGCTATACTTTTTCTTCTTCCTCTTCTATACCGTGGACGTTCTATCCAATGTCTTTCAAATCGGAAGGTGGACGCACGGGCAGTATTCATTTCAAAGTGACATTTAGGCTACCTTTACAAGCCTAATCGTAAGTCATTTCTGGGTGTCAGAACACTGTGTTACAGAACCACGTTTCTCGATCGCCGCTAAATCGGTTTTGCCTATTTCGTCTCAGGAATCAAGTTGTGCGTAAGGCTCGTCGCCTAGAGTATAGGGTTTCATCCAGTGATACACATATCAATTTCCAATCATCGTGGATAAGAAAAGTTAACTCCGTCATCCACTCGTTTTTAGTAACAAACCATGGCAAAATGGCATCGACCCGAAATTCGAGACTAAAAAGGATATGGGAAGCATTCTACTTCGGATCCCAACTGGCACCGATTTGGCTATGGTGCAGTAGACTCCAGCATTCTGTCTCAACATTTCGATTTTAGGTATTTCGCCGATGAAAGATCCCGAGTTGGTCGCTTACGCAACTTTTTATGACACACTGTCTAACCCCTGATAGGGTGTGCATGAGTTTTGTCAGGTCGAGCAGTAGGTGATGCCGTGTACGCAGGAGCGTACACGTTTTGATAACGCGACGAAAAACTAATCACAGTGCAATGAGGGTATCGATGTAAGTCGAATCAGGAGGGCGATGGCAGTGAGAGCAGTGGAAGTGGATATGAAGTAAGCACGAGTGGATGAGTCCACGGAAATTGTAACTAGTCTGTGGGCCAAAAAAGCTGCATTTTCTGGATTCCCACGTGCGTATGCGGAAGACAGCAAGGAAGCTTTGAGGGGGAGAATGTTGCTTCCTTTTTGGCTTTCGATTGGACTACATACACTTTTAGTCATGTGCAGTCAATTATGCATATTAACACAGACGAGGTTGAGGATCTAGTGACCAAAACTGATTTACTACATAGACTGACAAGAAAGAGATGCTGTGGCTACACATCATTATCTAACTTGGTGGACAGCTAGTCCACAAAAAACGAAAGGGAACTAGTATTCATCCGGAAGTAGACCGATGCGTGCACGACCTAGTGGCAAAGTCGTGTACTCCTCTGAGGACAAAGCAAGTGATAGGCTTCGAGCAACATCTGGCAAATTCGAAACGAACTGCTGGCCATAAATTACTGATTCCTCGTTAGTATGAATCGCGACTAAATCCCGAGTTCGCTTGACCCTACGGTATTGGCCGGATGTTCCCCCGTCCACGTTGCCATATGCGCCAATCGCATTTCTTCGTGATCCGGTGATTGCGCACAGCCGATTGTCACTTCAGCAACTCAAGTGTCGGCGGCGCAACTGCATGCAGCTATTATTACTAACCACCGCCACCACCGCAAACAAACATCAGATGGTATGAGTCTCTCACCGAACACCGCGCGGACCTGACTCAACAACACGTTAGCATCCACTGATCTAACGGATTTCAACTGTTCGTTATCCCTAATCAAAACCCGCCCACACAGAACTCAGAAAGTAAACATTATCAACGGCGAAGCGGTTGGTGAATGCGTGTAGTGCGTAACGTTGGATAAGTTGGATAAGCACCTTACATTTAAGTGCGCTAACCGCAGTTAGTTTAGATGGAAAAAATGCGCACAACCCAGCGTTTCTACATGCAAATCAGCGGCGCTGCTGGTTGCAAATAACGTATCAGCAATCCTAGACAAACACCCGTCACTCACTTCTTGTAATACGGCACTTGGGTCCCAGACGGATGGACACACCTTTCCCACGGAGGCGACACAGAATCTGAATGGGGTTGGGACAGGTTGGTAGAGCAACATGTAAAAGAGGTACATGTGTACTACGTATCAATGTTGCAACCCGAAAAATAATGAAAAAGGCCATCTAAGTCGTCATGGAGAGTTAACAAGAAGACCATCGCACATCCCGGGCAACGGCCATCATGAAAGTGATAGCAACATCGTGCTACAGAGTTTGGCCGTTATTGAAGTCAAAAGCTGTTGAGAGAATGGAACAATCTCATTCGCAAGTTAACAAATGAGGAACGATTGATAGTTCCTTGATAGTGGAGCAAATGTGCAGCCATGGAGGGCGTGAACGCCATGCCGTTAATGTGTGTCGATAGGAACCCTCAGTTAAAGTGACTGGCACTTCACGGCACAGCAGTTTGCCTTCAGTAAGCGTGTTTATTTGCGGTCGTACTTGTAGATTTTCCTACTACCGTCTGCGAAGGATACCGAATTGAGAACATCAGCCGAGAGGATTCAAAAACTTCCCATTACCAAAAGTAAACAGTGCGTGGTGACAGGTTCACCGAACCATGCGACGTACGCTTGATCCTCTTACGTCAACCATTCTAATGCCAGTCGAAATCCAATTAACGGAAGGGCCCAGAGCGAGCAATTAGTAGATCCGGTGTTTGCAGATGGCACCAGCGGACCGATCCCATAGCACTGGAATGTAGTCGTGCTGCTCAAGACAGATATTTTTCCCCACTTAAAATCCTGTCCAACCGAGTTAAACGCATGATAGTGTTCTTGGTAGCCATTTACGCGTACTGTTGTGCAGTATCTCTGAAAGCGCTGTCGAAAATTCCACAGGGTGACCCCTTGTAAACTATAGTCAGACTGTCGTGAGCACAATGTGGTGGGATAACGAAACATGTATATCTTACACACCGGGGGACAAATGATGTTG